CAGCCGCGACAGCCGCCCCCGGGGACGGACGGACGGATGGACGGGCGGGCAGGCCCCGCATCCCCCGCCCCGCCCGGGACTCGCAACCGGCACCACCGGGGCTGCGGAACGACACCCCCGGCCCGGCCCCGGGACCCCCGGCCTGCACCGGGGCTTCCCCAAACCGGGACCCCCTTGACACCGGGACCCTTCCCGGGACCCCCCTGACACCGGGACCCTTCCCGGTCCCTCCCGGGACCCCCCTGATCCCGCGACCCCTCCCCGCCGGGCCGCGTTTCGCTGTCGCCACCCGGTGGCCGCTCCGCGCTCGTGCGGCCCCGACGGCGGGGCCCCCGACCCCAAAACTGCCGAAATCGCTCCAAAAAAAAACACCCGAGGGTGCCCCGTGCCACCGCGGTGTCCCCACAAGCAGCTCACCCGCTGTGCCACCCGGGAGGGGTGACAGTCCCGAGTCCAGACGGTGCCACCCTCCCTCCGCCCAGTGCCACCCACACCGTGAACCCCCGGGGACACCCAGGGGTGTCCGTGGGACAAAGTGACCCCGGGGGTGACCTCCCCCAGCCCCTCCCCAAAGCAAAGGGCAGCACCAGCGGCTCCTGGGTAACATTTTAATGTTATATTTGCAGCATAAATAAAAGGCACGTTACATGTTTGGTATGACACGGCCGAGGGCTGGGGGACGCTGGGACACGGCCCCCGCTCCCCCCGCGGCCCCGGGCCCCCGCGGGGGCTGTGAGGACCCGCTCACAGGAGCCCGGGCGGGCGGGGGTCCCTCGGGGCCGCGGGGTTGGGGTCCGGCCGATCACGGATACATGGGGGTGTATAGGCGGCCACGGGGACGGGGGGCACGGCACGGGCACGGGCACGGGGRGCTGCGTTTGGCTTCTTCCATTATTGATCGTCAAAGCTCGGGGCACAAAGCGGCTGCGGGGTGGGGGGCGCGCCCGGGACCCTCCTCCCGCCGCCCTCCGGCCCCTCCCGGGCTCATTTTGGGGGTCCCCGCGTGCACGGGACCGGGSTGAACGGAGCAGGAACGGGTCTGTGAGTCCCAAAGTGACACATTTCCCACCTGAGCCGTAAAATTCCGCATAAAACACAATTTCTGGGGGGGAGAGGCGGCACCGACCATTCCCGCTCAGTCCTGAGGGATTTGGAGGCTGAAGGGAGAGGAAGAGGAGGGAAGGAGCAGGAGCTCCCCTATCGCGGGGCTCCCCGGGACTGTTCCTATTCGATGTCACCGTTCTGCTAAAATCCATAAACCCCAAATCCCACCTGCCGGTCCCGCTCTCTGTGATTCCCCTCTCGGCCCTAAAGGGGCCCTTTCAGCCCCACAGGGCTCCCGGGAGGAATCCCGGTGTTTGTCCCTCGATTTCAGGATTTCCCGGCAGGGATGGGATTGGGAAGGGCGCAGGGAAAGGCTCGGGGGAGGAACCCAGGGCTGGCAGAGCAAAGTGCAGGTGCCCGGCGCTGCCGAGCGGGGCCAGGGGCTGCCACCCCCGGGGGAAAAGCAGGAGAAATCGCCACGGAGCAGAAATCGGGGCTTTTTGCCCCAGAAGTGGTCACGGAGTGGGGTTAAACACACCYGGAACGGGCACGGGGAGCTCCAACACCGACACCGGGACAAACGAACCTGCATTTGGCTCAGTCCCTGCCGACCCTGCCCACGTTTGGGGCTTCCCCACCATCTTTTCCCGGATTTGTAGGATTTTCAAGGCACAGGCGATGGGAGATGTGGGAACGGGGAGCTTTAGGGCACCGAGGGACGGGGAGGAAAGCTGCTCCTGCACCCCCATCCTGAGGGACCACAAGGATTCCAGGAGGAGCGGAGAGGCAGGAAAATCCCATCACACAAAAACCAGGAACCTTCAGACCCCGAGGGTGGACCAGGGACCGGAGGAGCCGCTCCCTTCAATCCCGGATTTTCCATCCTCCGCTCATTCCCGGCTCTCCCGGCTCCCCCCAGACCCTGCAGCCATGGGGGAACCGGCCCAGAGCTCGATTCCTCCTTCCTTTCCTCATCCCGATGACCTTTCCCGGAGAGCTGGGATTTCCTGCAGGGTCTGCACCTCCTGCAAACCCTCCCCGGATCCTGAACCCCCCAAAACCGGGCCTGAGCCCTCCCTGTGCCTCACCTGAGCCCCTCCGGCACCGGCCTGCAGCACAAACACACCCTGGGTCGGGATAAGGAGTGCTGGGAACGCCTGGGAACCCCCGGACTGTGCTTTAAGGGAGGAAAAGGGGGTTTGGGGGGTGTATGGGATCCCAACAGGAGATTCCCAATGCTGGATGTGACCCCGAGCACGGAGGAGTTGGGATGAGCGGAGGAAAAAAGGGAATGCAGGAGCAGCAACACAAACCCACCCTGACCCCGATCCCGATCCCGATCCCGATCCCAATCCCAATCCCGATCCCAATCCCGATCCCGATCCCAATCCCGATCCTGATCCCAGTTGAGGAGGAGCTGCAAAGGAGGGAAGGGGAGAAGCCGGCTCCCATCGCCGGAAAAACCCCAATCTCGGGAGTTTTGGGGATCCCAGCCTCCTGCCCAGCCTCTGCTTTGGGTTTTGCTGTCCCTGGAACCTTCGGAGCGCGGAGCAGCCAAAGGGAATCACCCGGACGAACCAACCTGAACCTGGCTCCAAAGTGGCGAAGTGCGACCTGAGGGGGGAGGGCTTGGCTGAGGAGGGACTGGGGGGGCTGGGGCAGCTCCACGGACCGGGACCAAATTCCTTCCGAACCCCAAGAACGCAGCAGCGCTTCCCGTTCCGAGTGCGGCACCGTGGGAGAACCGATGGCCGCACACGGACGGGGGAGTGCCCCGCATCCACCGGGCAGGACACGGGACCCGACCCCTTCCCCTTCCCGCTGTGGGAATGGGAACCGAGCCCGCCCCGGGAACCGGGAGCTCCGGGAATCCTCCGCCCCAACATCACCGGGAGGGCGGCAGAGCCCGGTCCAGGTCATTCCCGGCTCCCTCCCGCATTCCCGGCTCCCTCCCACCCGACAGCAACAATCCCACGATTTAAGGCCACCGTTATTAAGGTCATCGAGGTCCCGAGAGCGGGGGGAGATCCCGGGGAGGGGCTGCGGGGTCTGGGGGCTCACATGGTCACTGCATCCCTGCACCCGTTCCCGGCTCCCAGCGCATTCCCCGCAGCCCCCAGGGACACTCCCGTCCCCCCCCTCCCAGCCCCACGCTGTCCCTTTGTCCCCGCAGCCACCAGGGCACAAAGTCAGAGCGGTCCCACTTCCCATCGCGTCCGAAATGCGCCGCTGAACTCGGGGAGGGAGGAGCTCAGAGCTCCGGGGGCTCCTGGCGAAGGTGCAAACGTTCAGGGAGCGGCAGCGGGGCCGAGCCCGGAGCGGGGACAGAACAGGGCCACAGCTCCGAGTGTCACCGTCCCCGAGCCTGGAGCGGGGACAGAGCACGGCCACAGCTCCGAGTGTCACCATCCCCGAGCCCGGAGAGGTGACAGAGCACGGCCACAGCTCCGAGTGTCACCGCAGCACGGCCACAGCTCCGAGTGTCACCTCCCCCGAGCCCGGAGCGGGGACAGCGCCGGGGCCGCCCCCGCACGGAGCTTTAGTGTTCCCACACGGATCCCGGGATGCGCCGGGCGCTCCGGGGCAGCTCCGCGGGCTGTGCACTGGGAAAGCGCCAGAGCTGCCCTTAACTCAAAAAACAAAAAACCCAAAAAAACAAAGAGAAAAGCTCCCGGCGGGGCTGGGGCCGGGGTCAGTCCGTGCGTGGCCGCGGCGGGGCGGTTGCTCCGGGCCCCGGGGCCATCATCTGCCGGCAGACTGCGCCTGGGGGGCCACGATGACGGGCGAGGCCACGGGCACGGCCAGCTCTGTCCTTTGTCCGGCCAGCTGCGCCAGCGCCGAGGTGGCCGCGGCCTCGGCGGCCGAGCGAGCACGGAGCCCGTTGCGGTGCTGGATGACGGGAGCGGGGGAGCCCGCGGGCTCCGGGCTCGGCTTCGGGCTCTCTGAGCGGGGAAACGGAGAGGAGAGAGTTAGAATGGGACTGGGGAATGGGATCGGGGAATGGGAGAGGAGAGAGTTAGGGACGGGATTGGGGAATGGGATCGGGGGATGGGAGAGGAGAGAGTTAGGGACGGGATTGGGGAATGGGATCGGGGGATGGGATAGGGGAATGGGAGAGGAGAGCGTTAGGGATGAGACTGGGGGGAATGGGATCGGGGAAACGGAGAGGAGAGCATTAGGGATGGGATTGAGGGGGAATGGGACCGGGGAATGGGAGAGGAGAGAGTTAGGGATGGGATTGGGGGGAATGGGATCGGGGAATGGGATCGGGGATGGAGCGGCAGCAGAAGGCACAGGTTTGGGGTGAGAATGCTCCTGGTTTGGGGTGGGAATGCTCCTGCTTTGGGGTGAGATTGGTGCTGACCCACAGCGGGATCAGGGTCACTCCAGGACCGTGCTGGACACTCACCTTTCCAGCCTGGAGCAGAGAGGAACCAATCCTATGGAATTTGGAATCCTGACTGCCCCCGCCCCCTCTGGCAGAGCTCATTAGGATTTGGGAGATAGGGACACCCCACCCCGGGGTCTGGCCGGCCCCATCCCGTGGAATCCTCTCGAATTCAGAGCAGGAAGCAGCAAAACTTCCCGAGGAGGGCAGCACCAGCATAACCTTCATCCCAGCCCTTCACTCCTTACCAGGAATTAATTAACCAGCAATTAATTAACATCCCCTCGGGTTACGGAGCCCTGGGATGGAGCAGCCCCTTCCCGGGGGGATATGGAACAGGACCCTCAGCAGAGCTGGGCTTTTTTTGGGGTGTTTTTTATAAAAATCCCCTGCTTTGTTCTGAAATACCAAAATCAGCCTGAGCCCATTAACCCTTTCCTCGCTGTGTTTTTCTGGAAATTGGAAGCGCCCTGAGGGGACCGGGCAAACACAGACAGAGCCTTTCCTCCCTTTGTGGCTTCCAGAATCGGGAATTTCTCCCCAAAACAACCCCCGGGGCTCAGAGCTCCTGCCCCAGAGGACAATTTGGGATTTTGGGATGAGCCCGTGGGGACAGCCAGGAGGACAGAGGTGCACAGACCCGCAGAAGGGACATGGGGACAGACCCCAAGGACACCCCATTTTAATTTTGTTTTAGTTTGTTTTTTTTTTCTGTTCCTCCCCAGGTTTTTGCTGCCTCCCCTCCCTTTCTCTCCTCTCGATTCCTGCTCTGCTCCCGTTTTTCCAGGGAACACTAGAGGACTCCAGCGTCCTCCCAAAGCCTCGGCACAGCCTGGAACCGGCACTGGGGGAGGACGGGAGGACCCAGATCGTGTCTGGCTCCYGGCTGGGTTATAATGAAATCGGCAGCATTAAAACAAAATAAATGAAGGAAAGAAGATAAAAACGAGGTGGTTTTTTTTTCTACTCCCAACCCGAGCCAGCTCGATGGGAATTGCAGAGAAGGAGCCCCCCACATGTCATTTAGAGGGTCTGGCCTTTCCTGACTCCCCTTGGCTTTGCAGCAGCCAATTTTGGGGTGCACAGGGGTCCCCAAGGGCTGAGCTGGAGGCCCGGAGCAGGGAGGGACTCCAGGGGGAGATGGATCCGTGTCCCACATACACCCAGAGGGACAGAGGGACACAAACCCCCTGCCCTGGGGCTGCCCTCGCTGCCGAGGTGTCCCCAGAAGGGCAAAGGGACACTTTAGGGGACCCTCCCCGACAGCAGAGGGGCAGAAATGCCCTCAGGGATGTTTGGGGGTTATGGGGTCCCTCCCACCCTGTCCCTGGGTGTCCGGTGACCGGGAGGGGACAGGGCCTGGTGTCCCCAGGGGCTGTCACTCACCCAGGTAGCCCTGGCTCTTCTTCTGCAGGGCCGTGACAGGACAGTCCTTGTGGGCCAGCAGCAGCTGCTTCAGCTGGGCCACCTCGTTCCTCAGCAGTGTCACCTCGTTCTGGGGGACAAACAGGCATGGCTGTCACCCACAGCAGCCCCTGCACCCACGGGCCCTGCCCGGAAACTTCCAGATYTGGGTTTGATTTGGGGTGGCCCCAGCTCGGGAACCTCCAGCGAAGCTCCTGGGGCTGGGGGATTTGGGGAAGGGGCAGCAGCGCTTCCCGGTCACTGCCTGTGGTCACTGAGCTGGTCCAGAGCTGGCCTGGCAGTGCCAGCTGTGCCAGGGACAGCCCGAGTGAACCTGTGGGACAGGGACAGTGTCCAGCCAGGCCAGGCCAGGCAGGGGGGACAGCAGAGCTCTGAGAGAGAGGAGAGGTCCCCAAACACCACCGGGGTCACAGCTCCACCAGGACAGGGGGACATCAGAGCTCTGAGAGAGAGGAGAGGTCCCCAAACACTGCCGGGATCACAGCTCCACCAGGACAGGGGGACATCAGAGCTCTGTGAGTGCCTGTGAGCCCGGAGAGATCCCCAAACTCTGCTGGGGTCACAGCTCGGCCCCAGGGACACTCAGCACAGGGACACTCAGCACAGGGACACTCACAGTTACCCCAGGGACACTCACAGTCACCCCAGTGACACTCACACTCAGCTGGATGTTCTGGCTCGTCAGCTCCTCGGCCTTTTTCTCCAGGGAGGACACCCAGAGTTTGCGTTTCTGCCGGCAGCGCGAGGCGGCCGCGCGGTTCCGCTCCAGGAATCGCTGCCGCCGCTCGTCCGGGTCCTCGTCCGCTGCCCGCTTGCGGCGCCCGCCCGTGCTGGGGGTGGGCTGGGCTGGGGACACCTGAACGGGGACAGGGGACAGTGGGACAGGCTCAGGGGACACCTGGACAGGGACAGGGGACAGGGGACAGGATCAGGGGATGGGGGGGACAGGCTCAGAGGACAGGGGGGACAGGATCAGGGGATGGGGGGGACAGGCTCAGAGGACAGGGGGGACAGGCTCAGGGGATGGGGAACACAGGGGGACATGGAGACAGGGGGACAGGGGTGACAGGCTCAGGGGACAGGAGGACACAGGAAGCCCCCAGCCCCCAGCCCCCCGGGCAGTGCAGACCTGGGGCTGAGCTGGGGAAGGGGCGTCGGGGTGCTGGCCCAGGGCCTGGCTCTGCTCYGGCCGTGTGGTCACCATGCTGCTGGCCGAGCTGGCCACGCTGCCGCCGTTCAGGGCCGAGGACGCTGCCAGGCTGGCCTTGAGCCTCTGCGGGGACAGGGACAGCTCAGGGGACTCAGGGGGACACAGCTCGGCTTTTTGGGGAGGGGGAGCCCCAGCCAGGAGGTGCTGAGGGTCCCGTGGCCCCRTTCCCCTGCCAGCACTCACCATTTTGGCTTCGGAGTGCACGGGGAGCCCCGAGGGTGAGAYGGAGCCGCCGCTGTTGATGGGGGGCCCGGGAATGCCGGGGATGTTGGGCACCATGGCCATGGGGCGCGCCAGCTGGGGACACGGGGGACAGGAGSGTCAGGGAGGGCCGGGGAGCGGGGTGGGCACTCCCTGACAGAGCAGGTTTGTAAATCCTGGCACACGATGGGACTCTGGCCGGCCGTGACCCCACTGCCACCCAACGCCAGCGGCCATCGTGGCTGTGCACAGCCTGGAGCACAGCGAAGGGGC